ATATTGAAAACTTTAACCATGTTCATTTTAGGGCAAATTCCCTCTCAGACAAGGAGGGCAAAGTAGGAAATAGAAATCTGAGGGGCTTGGGAGGAGGGAGCACGGTTTGTAATGTGTTAATGTTACATACTGCCTTTCACTTGCCCAAAGATTAGTCCCATATTTTTTACAAGTATGGGATAGTTGAGTGGCCAGTCCCACCAAGTTCTGCTTTTGCTAACAAAAATCACTAGGGTTACTACTACTACTACTACTACTACTACTACTACTACTACTACTACTACTACTACTACTACTACTACTGCTACTACTACTATACTACTACTACCACCACCACCACCACCACTACTACAACCATTTACATAGCACTTATATAACATTTTACTTATATTATTTGAGCTTTACAACACCTCTGTGAGATGAATAGTACAAATGGATGAAGAGTATGAGTAATTTTAGTAGTCCCCAAATCATTGTACATATTTGCATATACAGGTAGGAAATTTAAACTTTGACCAACCTTCCCCCTCTCCTCAGCCCATAAATCTCAGAATGTAATCACAAAGTGTAAACTAATTGAAAAGATGCAGCCTCCTTTGGTGATTCCTTTATGAAGTGTGAACTTCTTTCTCTGATTTAAATTAATAGAATGAAAGCCTACAGCCACATTAGATGATCCAAAATTTGAGCCCATTTGCTGAGCTTTAAATAGCTAAGCCCTAGGGACAGCAGTCTGATTAGAGGGAGTTCAAGCTCCTCCACAAATTGCTTTTGAGCCTGGACAGACAGTTCTCACTTTACCTAAATTCCCATTATGCAAATTCAACTTTACTAAAGAATTCTGAAAGAAATCAGCACTCCAAAAAATTAAATTTCCTGTATAGTGCTGGGTTCACTCTCTCCATCCCTGCCCCTCCACTGGGAGCACCCCCCCCAAAAAAAAAGACCCTATAAAACACCCTCCAAGTGAAAGCAGAATGGAAGTAACATGGAGTGACTGCCACTGCTGCCCCAACTAGAGACAGAGAGGAGAAACAGGGATGCAGAAATAGAGATAGAAAAGAGATAGAGAGGAGAGACAAAGAGACAGAAAGACAGAGACAGAGACAGAGGAGAGAGACAGAGACTGAGAGAGACAAATAGACAGAGACAGGGGCAGAGGCAGAGACAGAGACAGAGACAGAAAGGGACAAGGAGCCAGAGAGAGAGAAATCTTCAGTTCGGGCTGGTAGTTAAATATAAGGCTATTTGTCCCATTTTCATAGAATAGTCCACTTATTTATAGCAAATACTTGCTCAGACTGCAGTAAAAATCAACTTTCTTTACCTGGAGATAAGACTCCATTACAAAAGCATGAAAAAACAAATAAACGAAATTTAAGGGTGAATAGTGCCAATTCCTCAGGCAGCAGTGAGGGGAGGTGGAAGTGGAGAGGCAGGTAGGTGGTACAGTACAGTGCTGGACCTGGACACTGGAAGACCTGAATTCAAATCCAGTCTTAGACATTTACTAGCTCTGTGACTCTGGGCAAGCCATTTAATGGCTATTTGCCTCAGTTTCCTCATCTGTAAAATGGGGGTATAACAGCACCTATCTCACAAGGTTGTTGTGAAGTTCAAATGAGATCATTGTAAAGCACTTTACAACCTTAGAGTGCTAGATAAATGATAGCTATTCACCTCATCCCAATGGGACAGTACACTCTGCCCAGGCAGGTCACTCCTTAGGTACAGTGGGATGAGAAGGGGTGGTTCAGCGAGCCAGTCAAGGTTACAACTAATGACAGGTTCAGTTTTGGTGTTAAACTGGGGAAATGCATCTAGGTTATTTTATAAGCCTGAATTCTAATTTAAGTTTTGTGAAATTTTTGGTATAAGTTTGCTTGCACTGAGATACAATCCCAACTATTTTAGCTAACTCATAAGAAGTTCATAGATCTGGAGTTAAAAGGGACCTTAAAGGTCCTCTAATCCAACCCTCCCATTTTACAGATGAGGAAACTAAGGTCAAAGAGGTCAAGTGTCCTTGGCTTAAAGCTCAAGACCACACAGTGCATAAATGGAAGAGTAAGGATTTAAACTATGGTCTTATGATTCCAATTTTAGTGCTCTTTTCATTGCATTAAGCTGCCTGACCTTTTAAGACCCCATTCCAGTACAAGAAGTATCTTTCAGAGCAGCGATCAGCAGTTTGCATTCCAACTAGTGACCCTTTAAAAAAATTCTAAGGGGCAGCTAGGTGGCGCAGTTGACTTGCCCAGGGTCACACAGTTTGTGTGGGGCTGGATTTGAACTCAGATCTTCCTGACTCCAGGCCTGGCCCTTGATCCACTGAGCCACCTAGCTGCCTCATCTTGTTAGTCTAGAGGGAAATAATTTTTAGGTTCAAGATGCACTCTTGATCTCTGTTCCTTAACGGGGAAAGAATGCAGTGAGTTATATATCCAAGGCTTAACTCCTTTACTACAAGATACCAGTTCCACAGTGAACACATGCAGTGAATAGCAAATGAACCCATTTACCCAAATCAATAGCAAAAAAAAAATCAGAAAAAGTATACAGAGGAGAACATTTAGCAGACAACACACAGAGTAAATGAGCTCTCCCTTTTGGGAGTGAGATAGTTCAACTCAACTCAACCAAGAGAGAAAATCTCAAATCTCAGCCAAGGGGAAGTCTCCAGTGTAGCAAGCTGGGGATCAGGACGTGGTGAAGGCTCCTGACTCCAGCTCCGCTACCCCAGCTTCATCCCGGTGTCTTTCTCTCCCTTCTACAGGGATGTCACCACTGTGGTTCAGCCCCTCATTCTCCACGATTGCAACAGCCTGTGGGCCCTACTACTTCGAATCCATCTTACACACCACCACCATATGATAATCGAAATAACAATTATTGTCATTTATATAAAGGTTTGTAAAGTTCTCTACATACCTTCCCTCACAACCAACCTGAGAGGGGAGGATGACAGGTATTGTTGTTGTTGTTGTTGTTGTTATTATTATTATTATTATTATTATTATTATTATTATTGTTCCCCACTTTGGCTTAGGAAAGTTCTATGGTCACACAGCCAGGAAAAGTTAGAAATAGGATTTGAACACAGGTCTTGCTGATTCCATGTCCAGCACTCTTTTCATCATGCACCTTGACATGCTGCCTCATGATTTCGTCATTATTACCATATTTAAAAAACAAAACAAAACAAAACAAAAAGCCAACCACCTGGCCATGGTTCTTTATTGCCTACTTCAGACTCTGGCCCCAGATTCGAGGCGTTCCACAGGCTTGTCTCAGTTTCCCTCCTTTACTCTGTCTCACACTCCTTGCCTTCACGTTGCTGGCCTGCAGCGGACACTTCTGATCATGCCACCCTCCACGTCTAGAATGCCCTTTGCTCTCATTTTTAGCTGTAGAAATCCTACATGTCTTTGAATACCTATCTGCTTCTCCTTCCTCCACAAATTTCCCCTAGTTTTCCTAGTGAGAAATGATCTTTCTGTCCTTGGAATTCTTTTAAAAAGTGTCATCATATGCACTTACCACATTCTATTTTGTATTAGGCTTATTTATGTTGGCGTCTTGGTGGGGATGTGCTAGTGTTTAATAACCCGCTCCTCAGGGAGTAAAAAAAAGATGTATGAAACATTTTAAGTTTAATCTGCTTTATTTACATTTTCTCTATCACTTTCTCAAGTTTAGACAATCAATAAAACAATAAATCGATTCCTGATTTGTAAAGTTTCCCAGCTTCTGAGGTGAAAATGCTTCCCCTCAGGGGCAGCTAGGTGGCACAGTGGGTAGAGCACCAGCTCTGAGTCAGGAGAACCTGAGTTCAAATCTAACCTCAGACACTTGATGCTTATTAGCTGTGTGACCCTGGGCAAGTCACTTAACCCCAATTGCCTACCAAATAAATAAATAAATGTTTGTTGTATTTGAATTGTCCCCTTTCGAGGGAGGGACCATGTGTTGCATTTTTATATGCTATATAGGATCTAGCATAGTGTTGAATAGAAGCTCAGGAAATACTTATTGACTAAAAAAATCTTAAAAACAAAGTTTTTGATCATATCACTAACCCGGTCAGAAATCATCTTTGGTCTTTGGTCTTTTGTTGCCTATACAATAAACTTCTAACACTTTAGCCCATTCAAGGTTCTCCCTAGGATGATTTTAACCTACCTCTTTTTTTCAGTCTCTCTCCTGTCACTCCTCTATATGTACCCTATATTCTCATCAGAGTGTACTATTATTTATTCTACCCCAAACTTATCCCAAGCAACTCCACATCCGTGTCTCTGTTCCTGCCTTTTTCTCTGCTCAGAGTCCCTCTTCTCCCCTACCCCATTATACATCCATCAAGACCCAGTTCAAATTGTACCTCTTCCTTGAAGCCTTCCCTGATCTTTCTCTTCACCTGAATTCCCACAAAGCTTTGCTTAAACCTATCTTGTGTCACTTTTCTGCATTCTACCTTTTATTACACTTCTTCAAATTCATGTCTTCTCTCTCCTCATGGATCATAAGCTCTTTGAGGACAGGCATTCTTATTCATTTTTGGACTTTTCACAAGTGCTTTACACATAATAGATGCAACAGACATTTAATGATTCAATGAAGTATATTCCAAGGCTTTACATTGGATAGCATTTATTTCATTCACAAAACAACTACTTCAACCAAAGGCATAACTTAGACAAATAATTTTAATATTAAAAATTACTATTTTAGCTTATCTAATAATATAATAGTTTTGTTCAAAAGAAAAAAAATAAACTATATAATTCAAAAGAAATCACTCACTATGAAACAATAACAAAATTGCCCTTATCATTACATTTATTAAACTTCCAAATGTGTTACTCTACAGCAGGAATGGGGAGCCTGTAGCCTCGAGGCCACATGCGGCCTTCTAGGTCCTTGGGTGCGGCCTTTTGACCGAGTCCAAGTTTTATAGAACAAATCCTTTTATTAAGGGGATTTGTTCTGTGAAGTTTGGATTCAGTCAAAGGGCCACACTTGAGGACCTAGAGGGTCACATGTGGCCTGGAGGTTATGGATTCCCCACTCCTGCTCTACATAATCACAAAATTATGAAAGTCAATAAATAGCTAATGAAATTCTTGAAACATAGGATTAAATAAGCCTATCTCAATTGCCCTCTGAAATCTTCCCCTAGTTCCTCCAGTCAAAAATTTGCTTTCTTTCTCTGGAGCACTCTTATAAACACCATGGTAGTTCTTGGGACATCTGGTGAGGTTTGAAAAATAAAATTTTTTTAATCTAATTACAAAAATAAGGAGACAACATCAGAATCACATGCTTGAAGTTATCAAAATAAGTTACTTCTATTGCAACTGAACTATAGAAAGGAACAGTAGTTATTTAGTCAATACTCCTGAAGAACTTAGTGCTTTCATAGCTAACTCTAACGTCTCTTGAACCTTGGCATTATTTTCAATTATCAGGGAAGCATTTCTCTTTGTGGACTCTGGCTTCTGTTCTTGTTCCCTGGGAAGGAGGGTAGAGGTGTTGAACAGGCTTCGAGGCTCCCCTAAGATGCCAACTCTGTGTGGAAAGAGCGATCGTTACAAGTAGGCCAAAACGGCATAGCAGAGGACTGAGGTTTCAACATCAAAAATAATCCCCATTTCCCTAAACCACTGCAATTAACTTGCAGAGAGGCTCAAAACAAGAGCAACCCACAAGAATTTTTACTAGAATTTCCCACATTTCCTAACATTATCATAAGGATACATATGACATCATTTTAAATCAGTTTGGAATCTGAGGAAGCACCGAGTACCTTGGGAGCAGTATTACGGGGATACAGCGGAGTAGTGATGACATTCGTTCAGTCACTCCTCACCTTAGTACTGACCCACTTAACATGACTTCTCCAGAATAAATATTCCTTCTCCTTGCTTGGGTTGTAATATTAAAGTGGATGGAAGGGGAGCAGTTAGGTGGCACAGTGATAGAGCATTGGGTGTGGAGTCAGGAAGATCCATCTTCCTGAGTTCAAATCTGGCCTCAGACACTTAGTAGCTGTGTAACCCTGGGCAAGTCACTTAACCCTGTTTGCCTCAGTTTCCTCATCTGTTAAATGAGCTGAAGAAGGAAATGGCAAACTACTCCAGTATCTTTGCCAAGAAAACTCCTGACAGGGTCATGAAGAACTGGAAATGACTTCTGTCTTTTTGCTAGCTCCAAGCTTTCCCCTCTCCAGTTCCATGGGTCTTCTTCACAACTCATCAGAAGCTGGGTTCTTCTTCTAGTCAGTGAACTGATTTTTAGCATGGTCTATCATCATTCTTCATCTTATTTTGTCGCTTCCCTTGCTGATTTACTCAAGGGACTAATATGTAGCCCATAAAGGGCCACCTGGCATGGCTAAAATTTTACAGTTTAACATCTAGTTATTCTGCCCTTTTTCTATGATCCCCTCTGTGAAAGGTTAACCCCTTTACATGTGCACTAGGAGATGAATTCCAATTTTTCATTAAAACTTTTTGCTTTCAACCTGATGTCTTTGTTGTTGTTCAGTGTTTTCAGTCGTGTCTGACTCTTCATGACTCCATTTGGGGTTTTCTTGGCAAAGACACTGGAGTGGTTTTGCCGTTTCCTTCTCCAGCTTAGTTACAGATGAAGAAATTGAGGCAAACAAAGTTAAGTGATGTGCCCAGGGTCACCCAGCTAGTTAAGTGTCTAAGGACAGATTTGAACTCAGGGAGATGAGTCTTCCTGACTCCAAAGCCTGGCACTCTATCCACCGCACCACCTAGCTGCCCTGCTAATTTCCTTCAGGCTAATGAATTCAAGATGACACGTATGGCTATGTGCATTATGAATGTCTTGCCCGATCTTCTTGATTGGTAAATTTTCTGCTCTTTAGTCCTCAAATAACATTGTTTTGCAGCTCTCTGGTGCACTTATCACATAATGATTTTGTTTTCTAGTTATCTGCACTGGTATCTTAAGGAAGTTCCATAAAGCTGAGGGCTAGGTCTTATTTAAACTCTGTAGCAACCCCAGCCCAGAACTCTGCAAGTCAGTAGGTAATTTCTAAATGTTTCTCGAATTGTAGCTAAATGGATTGAAACAGGCAAAAGTATAAAGGATCTAGCCACGACCACCCTGTTACCGCCTCCTTCCTTTGGTTCATTCTACGTCTGCAATGATTGTCACTTACACTGGCATGACAACTGAGGGACTGCTAATCAGTTCTCTTTTGCTGGATGGTTTAAATGGGACACCTGAACGGCTACTACGGGTCTTCTCAAAGAGATGCTGAGCATGCTCTTTAGGGGAGGGCAGAAGAGTAGATAAGGCTGGAGAGCGCATACGAATAGTTGTTTTTATGGCGGGAAGTTTGGCCATCATCTTCCTTCAGGGAAAAAAAAAATGAAGCTTCAGTTTGGTTGTCCTGTTTCGTGATTTCCCTGTAAGTAGGGAAAAAACTAAAAAGGCCATACCTGAACTGCACAAAAGTCGTTCTTCTCTTTCCCTCACCAACTTCTTCTTCCTTCTGCCTCCTTCTTGCACTATTGAACATATTAGTACGAAACAGCCTCCCTATTTCTTCATCAATCTCTGTTAGGTACTCACGTCGGAATACTACCCAAGCTACATATGTACAGAAGGTGAAGAAGGCCTATGGTGAAAAAAGGACAGTCTCAACTCACAACTGTGATAAATAAAGCCAATTATTGCACCCAGAAAAAAAGTTGTGTGTGATAGAAAACTCATCCAATCATCAGCTTTCCCAATAATTCAATGAAGTAATGTACAGGTAACAGGTAACACTTGTTTTTGAAGTTATGTTTGCACGCATGCAGTTCCCTTGAGTGGTTGCAAAAAATAAAGTACTGAAAAAATATTTTAAATATGACTTTATACTTCACGTCTTTCATGTTTTCCCATTACAGTTTTCCTCATATAGCAAGCTGCAGAGACACCTGGCTCTGCATTGGTGAAGGAAGTACCCACCTTAATGAACTCATGGATCCTTAAAGTACTGAGACAAATCTGGGCAGAGGAAAAGTCCCATCATGTGCCTTTCTTACCTCAAAGAATTTCCAGTCTTTTTGTGTATCTGAAATCTTTTCCCTGAAACACAAAGAAAAATCAATGATTTATACCAAATGCTGTATCTTTGACACCCTGAACAAAAACAAAGAAGATCAAGCTGGCAATTAATATCAGAAAATAATCCGAAAAATTAAGTCTGTCCCTCTAAAGGACTCTTCCTTCATGAATCTTGGCCTTTTCTCTATACACTTACATGGCCAGTCGAATACTGTAAAATTGAGCTCAGAGCTTTAACTAAGGTGAGGTGACCAGGGCTTTGATCCCAGGGGATTTAGAGGGTACTGACAACACTTTCACTCCTTCACCAGGCAGGAACAACAAAGCTTAGCACTTAAACAGGAAGCTACCAGATGGCAAGATGGGGCAGGTTCTCTCCTCATCTTACCCACACATTTGGGACCCACCTAGCCAGATTCAGAGAGGTCTGTTCCCAGGTTAGCAGCAGAATCATGCATTTTTCTGTCCATAGCAGCCTTCTCTCTTTATACGCTACCTCCAGAGCAGATGGTGTCTCAGGCTCTCTACCTCCTTAACCCAAGTCATGCTTCATTTCACTCATACCACTTGGCTCAAAGCACAGTTCCTGTTATATTTGGTCTATATTACAACCTTTAATATGTTGTCAAAAAAAGGAGCATGAATATCTTCCGTGGATCTTCATTAGCTCAGACTCCCTAGCTTACTCAGATTCTACCACCTCTCAGAGGGTTCTGTTCAAAAATCAAGGGATAAACAACACACTTAGACAAGCCTGAGTGTGGAGACGCCTCTGAGCTTTGGGCACGGTAGCACAGGGTAGATTCTATGAAGGAGTCATCAGGATTGGATGATGCTGTCAGGAGGGATCAGAGATGGAGAGTGGTAGTTAAGAGGGACGAAGGAAGAGACGTAAGGCCCAGGATGTGACAGTGACTGTGGGCCTGAAAAGAAGAAAAACTGAAAAAGGGGACGTAATATTCACTTTCAGTGAACGAAAGTGAGGCTTGAGAGAACCTTCTGTCACCTGCATTAGTCAGGAAAACTTACATTCTGTATCTCTTAGACAGGCTTTACCCAGGAATCATTGCAAAGTCACTGTTAAAGAAAATGAAACTATGCCTTTGTTGAATTTCACCCTGCTAATCCTCCTTCTTGAAGGTCCACTGGACTCTGGCCCAGCCTTAAGGAAGCAGGTTCAGGCTACAGGCGTCTGCTTGCCCTACAACAGCCCAAGGAGGCAGAGACCAGACCCAGGTCATTGAGAGACTGATACGGGGTTGCAATCTACTCCATGTCAGGTCTAAATATCTTGTTAGGTCCAGTATCCCTGGGATACCTTTGGAGTTGCTTTGCTGCGACAACCCCTGGGTTGGCCCTGGAATTGAACCAGCAACCCCAGGAATTTCCCTGAATCCCTTGGAACCCCTTTAACCAGAAATAGTCTACTTCCTGCATTGGCTTTTAAGGGTCTGAACCCATTTCCTGCCAGTCCCAAGATAAAAGGCTCACCAAGGATTAGGTATGCCAAGAAAGAGCCATAACTTACAGGGCACTCTCTCCCTTCTAACATGTTTATGATCTTTGTTGGACCAACTTATGTGGATCAAATCGCAGCCCTAAATCAAGTTTCAAGTCTTTCAGGAGAAAAAAATTACTCTTTTTCTGGAATATAGATATTCCAAAAAAAGAGTGTGTGTGTGTGTGTGTGTGTGTGTGTATGTATGTATGTATGTATAGATGTATATATACATACACACACATAAACACATATATACATACATACATATATATATATATATGGAGAGAGAGAGAGAGAGAGAGAGAACACATAAGAATAGCAGATAGATAATCGGAATTTCTTCAATGCAGCCAAAACTACTCCCGACCAGGGTTCTTGTGTGGCATTTCATCACTTCCACTTCCTCTGCCAGCTGAAACCAGAGCCCACAGGGACAAGCATGCCAAATGTAGGGGGTGGGGTGGGGTGGGGTGGAGAGGACTTGGAGAGGAAAGGGGGAGGGAGGAAGGGCAAGGATGGAGGGGTGGATGGGAGAAACAAATCAAACCATGTTTTAGGAAAGCAATGTCCACTTGTATTCTGGGAATCAGTTTAGAGCAGCCCTTATTTTAGATGACCTAGTTTTGCCCATTCCCAAAGCACGTGGAGCAGCATAGGCATCTGTTTAAGGCCTGGAAACAATGACAGTAACAGCAGAGAAGAAAACAACTTCCTTTAAAAAAAAAAACCAAACAAAAAAAAGCCTGGCGACACACAAACTTCTCATTCCTCTCTCTCTGTCTCTCTCTCTCTCCCCCCACCCCATCTCTCTTTTCTCCCACACATTCTTCTTCCCTTCCTCCTTTTCTCTCTCCTCTCCTCCCTCTATCTCTCCATAAAGTTACACACTTTTTTTTATCTAGTACTTAGATAAATAAGTAATCCCTTTTCTCTTAAGGCTCTTAAGCTTTGCGCTGTCTTCGTAGAGACCCAGGATAAGGAGAGTACCCAGGAACTGTTTGAACCTCAGCAAGTTCAAACAAGGTTCACAAAAAACAATACATTTCCTACTCGAGATCAGAACCTAAAAGCAGCTGAACACAGAGAGTCTGCCTGGTAGCAAAGTTGTAACTGGGAATTAAGTTCCTTAGACCTCAGTGCTATCTGTTATTGAAAATTCTGTTTAATGAGTCCTTTGCCCTTCATCAGACCCTTACCCACAGACACCTTTATTTATTTAGGACCATCCGGAGGACAGTGTAGGGTCAGGACTGTCCATCTGCAAGGGATTCGGGGCCTAGCCCAATCTCCCTATTTCCCAATCTCTCTTTCCAGCCTTCTCTCCCAGAACAACAATTCTGTTCAGACGAAATCAGCTTATACTGAACATCACAGACAATAAGGGGCGATTGGATGTTTTTTTGTTTTTAAGCACCCCCCACTCATGTTCCTCCTAACCTGATACCACAACATCATGAAGGGGTGGTACACAGGGTGTGGTCCATACATGTTTGGGTCATTTGTTCTTTAGGGTTGACCTGACAAGGCTACATATACTATGGAGTAATTTTCTAATTTTGTTAGGAAAACATATTTCTTTAAAAATACATATTTCTTTTAAAAAAACCCCATAAAGAAATCATAAAAACCTCTGTGAAACCAAGAATTTAAAGCTTTGCAACTAGAAAAGTCAGACCGTCCTAGTTCCAGAAAGACATGCAAGCACAAAATTAACACCCCCAAAATTGCTAGTTTCAACTGAAATTTCTGTGAAATCTCTAATTCAGCCTCAAGAGAAGATGAATAATAGCAAAAGTAGGGCCAGCCCAACATTAAAATTGTGTCTATCAGAAAGGATGAAAAGTCAGAAGATACGCTTGAAAAAGCACTCCTAAGGATGTTAGCTTATTCACATCATGCGAAAGTTGAATTAATAATAATATACTGACATCAGCTAATTATATGGAAGGGAGACACAACTGTATGGCTCCTACTCTTTCTAATAAGTGAGCTGGTCTCTAGGAAGTAGGAATACCAAGCGCTATGGGAAGTGGTGTCCTCTAAATCATGGGATTCCAGGTTGGTCATTCTATCGACAGTGAGCTACCTCTAAAAATCTGGGCCAACCTATGAGAGGAAAAGTAAATAAGAACAAACGGGCAAAGCCCAATGAGGACTTAGGGGAATGACTAAAAAAGTCATTAAACTTTAAGTTATGAATTGATTTAAGTATATAAATATTTACTAAACAAGTTTATTTGGCTGTGTTGATAGGTTAAAATTTCAATAAAACATTTTGGTTCAGGGAAAAAAACCACAGTTTGAGCACATGGAATTAACTACATATGGTCTTAGATTCTACAGTGTGGAGGTCACTGAGAGGAATGGTGGCCTAAGAAGAGCTCTGGAACTGGAGTCAGAAGAAGACCTGAGTTTGAACTCTGGTGACACTATTTACTGCTTGTACGATGTGGAGCAACTCAGTTATCCTCTGGACCTCAGTTTATCTGTTGGACTGGAAGGATCTCTAAGGACTCCTAGGACCCTAAAATTCCATAACTACTTAATTTTTTAAAATATATTTACTTACTTTCCACAGGCCATGTGATGTTTGTCAGGCATACCCAAACCTAAAATAAGGATACAATATTTCTGAGCAAGGTATTTCTGTGACTCTTGTAACCTCTCCATAACTAATTCCATCTCTTTTTTCTCTATATGGCTCCTGAAAAAAACCAAACAAACAAGTTATAGTTAAAACTCCCTAACTGATAAGAATTGCAGCAAGTCTGAAAGATCAATCTGAATTACAGGAAAGCCCAAGTGGTAGGCTTTTTTGAAAGAAATACAGTTTTCCAGTGTTTAAATAACTCTGTATAATAACAATTAATTGTAATGATATAACCCTTTAGGGATTGCAAGGCACTTTCATCACAATAACCTTGCATGGCAGGTGTTACAAAATTGTCATAGATTCTTATAGTTCAAAGGATCCACAAGTGTCTCCATGAGGAGAGTCTGTCAATAAACATTTATTAAACCCCTACTATGTTACTGGTTCTGTGCTAAGTGCTGGGGATACGGAAAGAGGCAAAAGATAGTCCCTGAGCTCAAAGAGCTCACAATCTAATGGGGGAGACAACAAGGAAACAAATATATACAAAGCCATCTAGCTATGCAAAGGATAAATAGGAAATAATTCGAAGAGGAAAGGTCCTAGAATTAAAAGGAGTTGGGAAAAGTTTCCTGTAAAAGATGAGATTTTGTTGTTGTTTGTCCTTCGTTCTCCAAGAGGACCAATGACATCTGGAGGGTGATGTCTTGACTTGAAAGTGAATTGGATTTAAGTGAGTCATTAGCCTCACTCACTCCTCCAGAGTTATTGGAGTCCAGGGGCAAGACCTAAGTCGAGATAACTGGTGACGGCCCACGATGCAGTGGGAGACCTTGGCCTTTTTAAGCTAAGGTCTTCCCCAGGTCTCAGTTTGTCTGAGGGAATGCCCATTCAGTGACTAAAGGCTAGGTGAGAAATGAGACAAAAGATGGCCCAATTTGCCTTCAATAAATCTGGGAGAGAAAGGTCCTCAGAGTTTCTGGCCAGAACAGAAAATTGCTACTTGGCACTCATTCTGAGCCATCAAAACCCAATGAGCAAGTGAGGTTTAGGCTGGGACCTATGATTGGCCAATCGGTGAAAGCCAGAGCGATTTGGATTTAAAGGCATAGTTTTAGTTGGGACTTTAGTTGGCAATCTATGGAAGGAGACAAGAGGGATTACATGTAGGATTAGCTTGGATAAGGAGTAAAAGCCACCTCTTCATGTGAGAAAGGGGTAAAGGTAGAGATAGAGACGGAAGACATATGAGTGATATGAGATGAGGAAGAGGACAGAAGAGGCAGCTCATGACAATGGGTCTCAATTTTTTTTTTCTGAAAAATGTAAAGCCATGGGAGGCTTGAGGAGGAATGAAAAGTTTTCAAAGAGCTGCTGTGGAGAGTAGGCTAGTGAGCTGATGAGGAAGGTGTGGAGCAGGATTGTCTTGTAGCAGTGAGGCCCAGTTGAGGTGGTGCCACACAATCAGAACAGTTGAGTAATGTCCTCTGCCTTCATTAAGCAGCACACATAGGAAGTGCACAGCGGGAGTCTTCCAAGACCGAGGCTTAACAGGACACAATTATCTAAATGATAAGGGGGCTAGGGGCTCAGGACAAGAGGATAAAACAGAATTGAACTAGTTCACCAAAGGATCAGGATGGGGAAGAAGGAGAGGATGGCTAGTTCAGGGGAGATGGACTGGGAGAGAGCTGAGGTGTCAAGGGATTAGAGGTCACAGTGTGGACAAAGAGTATGGTTTGGTAACAGAAGCCAGAGGGAGAGGTGGAAAGCCATAGATTATGATCCAATAAGGGGATTTCATAACTTTTGAATATAAAGGTAGTACATTTGTGGGTGACAGCAAGAGCAAGGGTGTGATATGGAAAGTGAGTAGGCTGAGGTCAGTGGTTACAATGCTGTAGAGTCAATACGTATGAAGAAGTCCCCTATTATGAGAGCAGGAGTTGGGGAGGAGAGAAAAAGAGAGGGGAGTGACCCAGAGGTCTACAGACAAAAGTTTTTATGCTCAATGTGAACTCATTGTTATGTATACGCAACTCTCACATTATCTTACATCACTTATGGGTAATTGATATAACCAGTGACATCTTATCTGCATGAAGAGCCTCTGCTGCTGAAGCCCTTCCAGCCCCTTCATACCCCCATCCTCTTCTATCCCTATGGGTCTCAAGTTCAAGGGAGCTCACGAGTTAGGGCTCTGAAAGAGGTGGGTCTCTTTGGGCCAGTTTGAAAGTTCAGCTATATTATAGGTTAAACAAGACTCTTATGGGTTAGTCAGAAAACTGAAATATCATTTATACTGTTGTTTCTAAGGGAAAATATGCTCCAAAGAACTACTTCAAAAATGAATTTTTGGTGGGCAGCTAGGTGGCGCAGTGGATAGAGCACGGGCCCTGAAGTCAGGAGGACCTGAGTTCAAATCCGGCCTCAGACCAAACACTTGACATGTACTAGCTGTGTGACCTTGGGCAAGTCACTTAACCCCGATTGCCTCACTAAACCCCGCCCCCAAAAATGAATTTTTGGAACACCATCCGTTTGTAAGGTGGGGGTTGTCTATACCATTATTACCTGAAGAGCAGCAGCATTTAAGATTTTCATAATATTGGAAGCCTTGCAGACATTTTACAAATGTCCATCCTGACTCCTAGCTGCACCACTGTTGCATGCTGAAAGTATTGCTTCATTTTTGACAGTCAGAAAATTTTAAGCCAGTGCAGGGTGGAGAGGAAAGGAAACTGTAGATACAACCTGGGGTCAGCTATTTACCATAATTACACTTTCTGATTTTCACATATCTTGGACCACGCTTGGATGGTGATATACTGAGATACATTTACTACAAGTACAGCAGTTCAGTAATAATAATATCAAAATTTAATGCAAAGCATAATTGCTCATGTTGTACATCAGAGATTCTTAACTTCTTTTGTGTGGTGGGCCCCAGTGGCAGTCTGGTGAAGCCTGTGGATCCTTCTTAGAATGATATTTTTTAATGCATAAAATACAGAAGGATCACAAAAGAAACCAATTTTGTTGAAATGGTTATCAAAAATTTTTTAAATCTTCACGGACCCCAGGTTGAGAACCATTGCTTACATCAAAGGAAAAAGGTTTGAATAAAAATCAGAAAATTTGTCAGTTGTGGAAATAAATGGATTAATTTAAGAAGTGCAGCTAATAAAATGATCACTGATGCTGTCTATAATCTTTAAGTAATCACGGGAAAAGGAAGAGGCCTCAGAGGAGTGGAGATGAACAAATGTTATCATTTTTAAAAGAGCGGGAGGGAATGTAGTTTCATGAAATGACAGGGCACCGAGTTTGGTTGATCCTTGACAAAACTAGCATTGGTGATCTGTGAAGAAGTGGTGATCATTAGGAGTCAAAATGGGTTCACCAAGAGCAAATCATGTGAGACTCACCTAATTCATCTTTATAAGGTTGCTAAGTTAGATAGATCAGAAAATGCTATAGAGATTTTATTTTATTAAATTAGTATGCCATACATATGTAATATTTTATATTACACTGAGATTTCAGTAAGGCATGTGCCAAAGATGTCTCATGTGATATCCTTGTGAATAGGATGAAGAACTGTGGGCTGGATCAAAGTATGGTTAGGTGAATGTCAACCAATGATGATCTGTAGGCAAGGCTCCTGGGGCATGCTCGTTTTTTGGTCTGATTTTGCTCAATATTTTCATCAATTACTTGCATGCGAATCATATTCAGTGTTGGAAGGTACCCCAGAAGCCCTTTGGTCTGATTCCCTCATTTTACAGATGAGGAAATCAAGGGCCAGAACGTAAGGGACTTGCCCAACATCAGGTAAGATATTAAGTGATAGGTACAAGATTAGAACTAGGTCCTCTGCAGCCAAATGCAGTACTCTTTCCACTATATCACGATACCTCTAATCTAACCCTTTCATTTTGTAGGTAAGGAAACTGAGGCCTGAGACATTGATTTGCCCAAGGTCACTTGGGTAGTGATTAAGCTAATAATTCAAACCCAGGGTCTTCTGACTCCTAAATCCAGTATACACACTAAGTCATTCTGCCAACATTATTAAATCTTGGGATGACACAAAACTGGTAGGGATGACTAATGAAAGATACCAAAGTCAACACCCACCAAACATTTTAGCAGCATGGAAGTATGGAACAAATCTAACAAGATGAAATTCAATAGGGATAAGTGCAATCTGGGCACTTTTGCTAAAAGATTAGTTGATAAGTATAAGACACATGAAATGTGGCTTAATAATAGCTCACGTGAAAAAAGAAGCCACTTTAACCGATTATTACTCCAATACGATCAGTGTGATGTGAGCTTCAAAAAAGCTGATTTGAACTTGTCCTTCATGAATAAAACCAGAGTGTAAATCAGGCCTGCATAATCTGCAGCCTACAGGCTGCTTATGGCCCTGGGGCCACTTGCATCAAGCCAAAAGACTTCAGGAGGCACTTGAAAAATATAGAGGAAAACACCCTCTGTATGTAGAGGAAATCCTCTGGCTGGGTTGCACACTGCCAGCAGGCAGCAGGTTGTGCAGGCCTGGTATAGATCAAGGGAGATAATACTGTCCAACTCTTCTCTTTGCTGGTCGAACACATTGGTTCAGTTCTAGGTGCCACATTTCAAGAGAGGCTTCGACAAACTCAAGCATATCAAGAGGAGGGGCTCCTGGGTGATAAAGGGACTGACTCACAACCATCCCATGTGAAACATGACTAAAAGACTCAGAAATATGTAGCTCAGGGGGGAGATGTCATTAGGGACATGATGGGACATAATAGCTATCTTCAAACATTTGCAAAGTTGATAAAGAGGGATTAAACTTGTTTTGTGACATTCAGAAACCAGAGTTAGGATCAATGAGTAGACATGAGGATATGATATTCTTACTTTTTAGCATTGAGGAGAGTCTAAAAACATTCCTCATTATCACTTAATGAGATACTTGAGTCCCTTATCACTCAAAAGGGTAAACGCAGTCTATTTGTCTACTTGTCAAGAGTGGTGTAGAGGGGGATGGACTAGACCAGAGGTTCTTCAGCTTTTTTTTTGTCAGGGACCTCTCTGGCAATCTGGTGAAGCCTATGAACCCCCGTGTTTTGAAAAGCATAAAATAAACTACATAGCATTATAAAGGAAACCCATTACAGTGAAATGCAGTTATCAAAATATTTTTTAGAAAACCAAATTCCCAGACCAACCCCTGGATAAAAATCTATGAACAAGACTAAGTTCCCAAACCTATGATCAAAGTCTACTTATCAATATCTATTTCAAAATGTGCCTTATTGGGGCAGCTAAGTGGCGCAGTGGATAGAGCACCAATCCTGAAGTCAGGAGGACCTGAGTTCAAATCTGACCTCAGACCAAACACTTGACACTTACTAGCTGTGTGACCCTGGGCAAGTCACTTAACCCCAATTGCCTAGAAAAAGAAAGAAAACAAAATGTGCCTTATTTTTCTGAAGACAGCCAAAATATTCAACTCAACAGCAACAGCACACTGCCTGGCTTTAGTTCTTCTTCATAGGGTAATTCTATCTGTTATACTATCTGCATTGGTTATTTGAAGGGGGTTTTTTTTGTTTTTTATTTTATTTTTTATATATATATAAATTTATTTATTTTCAGTTTTCAACATTCACTTCCACAAGTTTTTGAGTTCCAAATTTTCACCCCATCTCCCCCCTCCCCCCACCCCAAGATGGCATGCATTCTGAATATCCCTTCCCCTAGTCTGTCCTCTCTTCTATCTCTCCCCCCTTCTCTTATCCCCTTCCCCTTCTGTTTTCCTGTAAGGCAGGATAGACTTCTGTACCCCCTTTCCTGTATTTCTTATTTCCCAGTAGCATGTGAAAACATTTTTTTAAACATATGTTTTTAAAACTTTAGGTTTCAAATTGAAGTTTTTAATCTATAGTTTTGACTACAGTGACATGAAATATAACCCCCAAATGAGTTGCATATTTGAAAGACTTTAATTGTAGCTGCATCCATGAAATATTTATTCATCTGATCCTTTACAAACCTGTTCTCAGTTTTGCATTTAACTATCAAGAAATGCTTTTAAAGTTCCTTAATGGATACATAAGAGTTTTGCATTGTCAAAGTGCTTTGCATCTAGGAAATGAGTGCAGCTAAGACTCTGAGGACATGAACATACTCAGTCCAGGTTTACTGACAAGGTAGCTTAGGCATATGGAAAGTTCCAAGGGTTTGCCAAAGGTCACAGGGCACATTGGTGGAATTGCTGGCTTTAGTTCTCCTGGTTCAAAATATTTTAACTCAGGGAACACAACACTAAGCATGCTGCTAAAGGTGGTCATTGATTTGGTATTCTGTATCCTGAGAAGTAGCAAATTTTTTTTGGCCCAGAATGTTTTTTGCTATGACCATTCACCTTTAGGATCCTGGCAGGCTTTTTATGCAGCTCACAAATCCTTTTGGAAGACATGTCTGAACGTGGCTGCTTAAAAAAGAAAACCAAACAGACAAATAAATCCCAGCGGACTCAGGGCAGCATGGTTTGTTGACAAAGTGGCCCTCTCAATTATTTATTGTCTTAAGACTCACGTGATTCCTCTATATTGTTAAGTTGACCTATCATATACCACATTCAGCACTCTCCATGTTATATGAAGTTTAATTTGCGACAATGACAAAGGCAATAACTAGGAAGCAATAGATTTATTCTTACGTCATGTAGCTTTTGGGCTTCTTTTCCAATGAAAGTTTTTCCAGATAATGAGATAAGTAGTATAACAGTGCCATGAGGAATTCGTCAAGTTTCTCATTCCTACAGAGAAATACAAAAATAATCACTGTCAACCATTTCAGGTATAAGAATTCCTAACAACAAAACACAAAGCTAGTGAACGACATGAATGCCAAGCGGATGAAAAATATAGACACAAAATGAAACTCACGCGATCAGCTCTACTTTTAGTGCAGACTGATGTCAGCCTATAAAGTAGACTTTATGAGTGAAGTGACTCGGGTAGACTTACATAGCTAATAAGTATTGGAGGCAGGGTTTGAACCCACGTCTTCCTAACTCCAGGTCCACCACTCTATCATTTGTTATACTGCTGTAACTAATTTCACTTTTAAAATCCTATATTTCATAATGCTTGACAAGATAGACTTATAAAGCAAAATATTTTTGAGAGACGGTATCACATGCTATTATCTGTCATCTCCCTCATTAGTCTTTAACTTAGCCCACAACCTCCAATATAACCTTTTTCAGATTTTTTAATTTTTCTTCCTTTGACTGAATGTCAGATTTGTATCCTGTCACATTGTTCCCAGACCATTCCTACCATTTTGCCATATGCAGGAATTAAAGAAATTAAAGATGTATATGTTGAGTTCTTCAACGGACTAGGCAAGAAGAAAGAAATACAAAATTCATATTTGTTAAAACAGATACAGGATCATAGATTGAGATCAGAAGGGACCTTAGATAGAGGTCATTAAGCCCAACCCTTTTATCATATAGAAGTGGAAACTGAGGACATGCCTAGCTAGTGAGGTAGGACTTGAATCCAGGTCTTCCTCCCTCCAGGTCCAGGGCCCAAGCCACTATACCATATGAATGAGATTAATACATGAACACCAAAGCAAGATTGTATTTGGCAAACAATTACATTAAGGCCTTGGTGGCGCAGCTAAAAATTCTAGGAAGCAAGGAAAAATTTCCAAAATGTCTACCACTTAGTCAATGTAAAATGAATAGTGTTTTTCAAATACAATTTCCTGAATTTCAAATACCTGAAAAGTATTTATGCTATGGAGAGAAAAAAAGGAGATAGCTAGCAGGAATTATAATACTAATAATCACATCTATTTATCACTTTAAGGTTAACTAAGATGTTTTCCTCTAAACAACCTTATAGGGTAGAGAGTACAAACATCACTATTTAAGAGAAAGGAACAAATCTGGCCTCAGACATTTGAAACACACCAGCTGTGTGACCCTGGGCAAGTCACTTAACCCCAATTGCCTCACCAAAAAAAAGAGAGAGAGAGAGAGAGAAAAGGAAAATGAGGCTCATAGAGATTCATGTATTACATAGCTCATAAGTGTTGGAGTCAGAATTCAAATCTGGATCCAATGATTTTTTTTTTATGGGTTTTGGGTTTTTGTTTTGGAGGCGATGGGGTTGAATGACCTGCCCAGGCTCACATAGCTAGTAAGCGCCTGAGGCTGCATTTGAACTCAGGTCCTCCTCACTCTAGGGCTGGTGCTCCTAGCTGCCCCAGGCTCTACTGAATTCAAGCAGAACCATCTTTTTCACTGCATTAAGCTGTTTTGTCCTTTGTTGTCCATTGCTTTGTCCTATTAACCATGATTTCAGCTATCTTGTGGGAGATTGGGGGTGGTAGGGAGTTATCGATAGAGAACATTTTCTCAGGTTAAATGTAAATATAAATTACATTTAAAAGGACCCTTAAGTAAACTTTTTATTGTGCAGTCGTCAGGCAAGTTAGAGATGCCTGATCCTCACTTTTAGCAAGTGGCGCCCTCTCTCTCACTCTCTCTCCCTCCCTCCCTCCCTCCCTTCCTCCCTCTCTCCCTCTCTCTCTTTCTCTCTCTCTCTCTCTCTCTCTCTCAGGTTTTAACAGAAGTGAGCATTATACGTAAAAAGAATCTTTCATAGAGCTTTGCAAACATATTCTAACATTCTGTAAATTATACCGGGCCCAAACTATAAGAAGGCAGTAGCCCCACCATATATGTAGCAACAGGCACACACACTGTAAAGACCTCTCTCTCTCCAGAAATCATAGGATCATAGATTTAGATTTGGAAGGGCCCTTAGAAGTCATTGAGAGTTCAATCTCTTCATCAAACATCATTCCTCTTTCAATGAACCTTGCCATCACTTATCAATATAGGTTATTGTAGACATCACCACATACCTCATAAATGTTGTAAAGGAATAGATACGCTGCATTTCAGTGTCTTGTAATAAAAACAAGGCAACATCTGAAAATGAAGAAGGAAAGCTGAAGAATCAGAAAAAAGTTGTGTCCCAGGTAATAATAACAAAGAGGACAGATGAAAAGATGTTGACTCACATTTAGCATCATCCAGAGTAACCTTGTCATTCTTTGACTGTTTATCAGTTCTTTTGGTTGATTTCTCATCTCTTTTAGAAAATCTCTTCTCAGACAACCTAATAATGTTCAATGTAAATATTTAGAAATATTTTAGCTGCATTGAAACTCTGCTGGGAAAAATACACAGGCATGAGTACATTGTAATTAGGGTTGCTTTCGTGTGTGTGTGTGTTTGTGTGCAGTTAGCTTCATAAAGATTCAACCCCGAAAGACAGTGATAGTAGGTGATAGTAGGACCAATCGAGCTCCCAGACTTTCTCTCTATTGGATATAGGATACTCTCCTTCTTTAGGCCCTGGATCCTAGAAAGGTTCAGGAATCTTTGGACTGACATCAACTATTCTGTCTGGTCTCTCTGGAGATCTGGAATTATCATCATCTCTGTTCCTCTGTCAATCAATTACTAGAGATCAATTAAGTATTAAACACAACTTTGTTTTTTCTAAACTAAGTCCAGAGCAGAAGTGAATAGTAATAACAATAATATCTCACATTTATATGACCCTTTAAAATTTACAAATTGCTTTCTTGATAACAACCTTGCGAGGTAGGAAGTACATATTTTATCATCTCCATTTCACAGATAGAGGCTCAGAGAGAAGTGACTTCCCCAAGATCAGACAACTAATGTCAGAGACAGGATACAAATCCAGGTCTCCCTGACTCTAAGTCTAACTCTCAAAATTTCACTGTGCCCCTGAAAACAATGAAAATAAGTTTAGGTTACAAGGTATAGTGTTCTGAGGAGCCAAGATGGTAGAGTAGAGGTATCATTCCAGCTAAACTTTCCCAATATTCTCCTTCAAGCAACTTTCAAAATAATGCATCAACTTGAATTCTGGAGCAGCATAGCCAACAAAAGTTTGGGGTGAGACATTTTTCTAACCCAAGACCACTTAGGAGATTGGCAAGAGAAGTCTATGACATTGGAGTGGGGCTGGCCTGGAGTGCACTGGACTGTGGCAACACCAGCTGGTGGACCTTGGAGGCTGTGGCAGCAAAGGGATTGGACAATTGGTCAGAAAGAGATTGGAGGGATCTCCTCTGTGGACATGAGTCAAAGGACTAGATGCCTCTTGGAAACTCCATTACCCATTACCCAGTTCTGGGTTGAAATTCGAGGGTGGAGATGATGAGTGCCTGCAGTCACCAGGGACAAAGGGCCCTTCCCAGGTAAAGCATGCCTCCCAGGATCACACCACCTTAGAAGCACCAAAAACTTACAGGTCCCCAGAATTAGCTGTGAAAATAGAGGGACAAAAAAAGACTGAAGCTTGGAACAGTATCATACCTCCCCACCCCCAGATGAGCACAGTCCAAACCTAATATAAAATTCAAAGTCAAGAAATGGGCTGAAAAAATGAGCAAATAATAAAGAAAGAACCTGACCGTGAAAATCTACTGTGGTGACACGGAAGCTCAAGACTCAAACTTAAAAGAAGACAACGACATGAAAACACCTACAAGCAAAGCCTTGAAGGAAAAAAATGGGGGCAGCTAGGTGGTGCAGTGGATAGAGCTCTGGCCTTGGAGTCAGGAGGACCTGAGTTCAAATCCAGTCTCAGACACTTGACACTTACTAGCTCTGTGACCCTGGGCAAGTCACTTAACCTCAATGCCTAGCAAAAAAAAAAAAGGGGGGGGGAAATGCAGATTGGATACAAACCCAACAAGAATTCCTAGAAGATTTTTTTTTTAAGGGCAGGGGCAGCTAGGTGGTGCAGTGGATAGAACACTGGCCCTGGTGTCAGGAGGACCTGAGTTCAAATCTAGCCTCAGACACTTGACACCTGGGCAAGTCACTTAATCCCATTGCCTACCAAAAAACAAACAAAAAAAACCCCAAACAAATAAAAAAGGCAAAAAATTATTTTAAACATCAAGTAAGAGTAGTAGAGGAAAAATTCAGGAAAGAAATTAGAGTAATGCAAGAAAATTATGAAAAGAGAATTAACAACTTGGTAAAAGAGGCACAAAAAAATGAAGAAAATAACTTCTTAAAAAGCACAATTGGCCAGGAGGGAAAAAAGGTACAAGACCTGCCTGAGAAAGGTAATTCCTTCAAAATTAGTAGCAATAAGCAAATTAAGGTAGGATGGGGAAAAAAATTACCTGTCAAATCTATAGATAAGGGAAAAGTTTTTGAGTGAACAAGAGATAGAGAAGATCATGCATGGTAAAATGGATAATTTTGATTATATAACTTTGAAAAGTTTTTGCACATACAAAATCAATGCAGGCAAAATTAGAAAGAAAGCAGGAAAGTGGGGAAACTTGTTTACAGCAAGTTTCTCTGATAAAGGCCTCGTTGCTCAAGTATATAGGGAACTGAGTCAAATTTATAAAAATAAGAGCCCTTCCCCAACTGATAAATGGTTAAAGAAACAAACAAGTAGTTTTCATATGAAAAAAATCAAAGCTATCAATAGTAGTATAAAAATGCTCTAAATTACTCTAAAATTGCTCTAATAGTCTAATGAGAATATTAGAGAAATAGAAATTTGTAATCATCGTCCTTTGTACTTGAAGAGGACCAAAATGACATCGCCATGTCAAGATCGACGTACAATGTGTCCGACTGTGGTGGATCAGAACAATACAAGCTCAGAAGGCTCTACCACAGGCTGGGCAGAAATAGTCCATATGAATATTGGAATGGAGATGTCTCTAAATATATGCATCTCATGTTTTCTTTTGACCAATTGCCATTCTGCTTTGCAAATAGAGTACAGTATCTTTTTTGACGTGGACATATCATGCTGGGTGGTCCTGTGCCAGTGTTTCCCACGTCTCACAATCAATTTCAAAGTTCTTCATCGAGACCTTGAGAGTGTCCTTGCACAGCTTCTTCTGACCTCCAAATAACAGCTTGCCTTGTTTAAGTTCTCTGTTAAATAGTCTTTAAGGCAAACATATGTTTGGCATTTGAACAACGTGGCCAGCCCATCAGAGTTGTGCTCTGTGCAGCAGAGTTTGAATGCCTGGCAGTTCGGCTTGAGAAAGGACCTCAGTGTCCTTATCTTGCCTTATCTTCAGAATCTTTCTAAGACAGTTCAAGTGGATGCAATTCAGTTTCCTGGCATAGCAGTGGTAGACCGTCCAGGTTTTACAGTCATACAACAATGAGGTCAACAGAATGGCTTTGATTTGGTAGGCAGCCTGATATCTCCTCTTCCACACTTTCCTTCAGAGACTCTGAGCTAGCTCTGGCAATGTGTGTGTCAATCTCATCACCTCTGTGTACATGCCTGGCAAGTATTACTGACAAGGTAAGTAAACTTATCCATAGCATTTAAAATTTCTCCATTTGTTGTATGTGATGATTCTATGTATGGATGGTGCAGTGCTGGCTGGTGAAGAACCTCTGTTGTCTTGGTGTTGTCAGGACAAAATTAGCACAAGCACAAAGAATGGGTCCATACTCTATTGCATCTCAGCCTCAGAGGCTGCACTGAGTGCATAACCATCTGCGAACAAAAAGTCACGCACGAACTCTTCCTCCACTTTAGTTTTGGCTTGTAGCTTTTTCAAGTTAAATAATTTACTAGCAGTGCAGTAGCTGAACTTGATGCTGTTTTCCTCATTGAAGGTATCTGACAAACAGTGCTAAAAACACCATGCTTAAAAAGCATGGGAGCAAGCACACAGCTCTGCTTCACTCCACTGGTGGCTGGCAAAGCTTGAGAATTGTCCATTATCCAGAGCTGTCGTGGAACTGGCATATAATACTGATGAACTTCTCTGGGCAACCAAATTTTGTCCTAATCTTCCACAAACCCTCACAATTGTCAGTAAGTGACAAACACTGTGTACAGACCTCTGTTCTGCTCCTGGAATTTCTCCTGGATTTGTTGGACAGCAAACACCATGTTGACCATTTCTGGGCCCTTTCTGAAGCCACACTGCCTCTTGGTAGATGACAATCTCCCAGATGAAGGATCAGCCTACTAAGGAGGTCTTTGGCAAGCATCTTGGCAACAATGACTAAGAGAGAGGACACCTCCCCCATCCTGCTGTGCCCCAGCCCACGATTGTCACAGGACAACCTATTTTCCTTTATAGAGCTGGACAATGGAGGCATCCTTGCACACCTGGAGGATCATCTCCTCTTGCCATATAACCTGAAAGACTTCAATCAGTTTTTGTATGAGCAGTGGACCCCCCTGCCTTGTAAATCTCTGCTGGAACAGAATTAGCACCAGGAGCTTTGCCACACAAGAGGAGCCTAATGGCATTCAAAATCTCTACATCAATTGGAAATTTGGCTAGAGAGGTATTGACTTCAACCTGGGGTTGCGTGATCTGTGGTCAATGGCTTCAGCATTGATGGATGACAGTCTGTTGAGAAAACTATGGAAGTGTTCAGCCCGTCCCTTTAGGATCATGTCCTCATCACCGATCAATGTGGTTCCATCAGCATAGTTGATGTGCACCATAGGTCTTTGGCCCACAAATAGCCTTCTGGGCATATTAAAAATGTTTTGGATTGCTACTACCAGCTTAAAACTGAATTTCATCTTCCTTCTCACTAAGCCAATAATCCTAACTTCACTTACACTTTACTTTTCATGGAGGCAGGATTTTACTCCATCAAAAGTAAAGTGCAACAGAAATGCAAATCAAAATAACTCTACGGTGTCACTTCACATCTATCAGATTGACTAACAGGACAGAAAAGGAAAATGATAAATGTGGAAAAATAGGTACACTAGCACACTGTTGTGGAGTTGCGAATTGGTCTAACCAATCTGGAGAACACTTTGAAATTAGGCCCAAAGGGCTATGAAATTCTGCATACCCTCTGACCCAGCAATACCACCACTAGCTCTGCATCCCAAAGAGATAAAAAACAAAAAGGAAAAAGACTTATATGTACAAAAATATTTATAGTAGCTCTTTTTGTGGTGGCAAAGAATTGGAAACTGAGGGGATACCCATCCATTGGAGAATGGCTGAACAAATTGTGGTATGTGATTGTGCTGTAAGAAATGATGAAGGGGATAGCTCTGAAAAACCTGGGAAGACTTGAACTGATGTTAAGTGAAGTGAACAGAACCAGGAAAACATTTCACACAGTAACAGCATTATTGTAACAATGATCAACTATGAAAGGCTTAGCTACTCTGATCAATACAATGATCCATGACAACTCCAAAAGACTAATGATTAAAATTGCTATCTACTTCTAGAGAAAGAATTGATGAATTTTTGAGTGCAGATTGAAGCTTTTTTTTTTCACTTCATTTTTTCTTGCTTTTCCCCCCAATATGGCAATTCTAGAAACACATTTTGCATGAAAAACAAAAACCAAAAACAAGTTATGATGTTTTAAAGCCTACAACAGTAATTCCCCTAGTTAGTACTAGGCTTTCTGTCCCATGGCTATCTCCACTCTAGTAGTCACTGCCACATCTGCCATGCTATATGCATGACTTTCTTTCAACACGGGGTTCCATTTATGCCAGAAACATTTACGTTATTTCCATTGGGTTGATGGTTGAGTGCCACCTTGTTTTTTGTATGCCCAATTCTCTTAAACTCCATTTTTCTTCTCTCATAGCACTAGCTTGGTGGCTTGGTTCCCAACATTTATAAACAATTAAACATTGTATGACAGTGTGAAAAACAGTTGTTTTTCAGCTTTTTTCCCCAATATGGCAATATTTTTCAGCTGAGTTTCCAAATCTATTCTCTCTTGGGGATCCCCAAAATGCTGCCATCAGTACTATCCTGACCTGCTTGGAGAGCCTGAAATTGCCCCAGACGCAAACACAACCCACCATGTACACTGAGGATCGCTAGAGTAAGAGTAGCCTGGAACAGGTCTCCCCTTTGGGGACAGGTCTCAATACAATTGATACTCCCCAGAGAAATGTAGAAATCAGAGAGTCCTTGTGTATGCTCTTACATTTTGACTCAATTGTCAGGTATGAGGATGAGTATGAGATCAGGGTCTCTATCATAGTCGGCCCTAGCAGGTCTTTATGGTGATAGGGGAGAATTGCCTAATATGGCTGCCCAATGAGATTCTGCTCAGCTGTAGAGGGCATCTTCATCAGTACGTGGAATGAAATTTGCTATTTTAAGAATACACCTTGAACAAGCCCAATATTAACCAATTACTCTTTCAAGAAAAAAAGATCATAGAATCTCACAGTTGAGAGGCCATCTAATCCAACTCATACTTGAATAATTAATGTATTCCATTTAAGACAGTGCATTTAAATCTGCTACTGATACATAAAGCACTCATCAATTTATATTTTATAAGCTGATAACTGTTGGCAACATTTTTAAAAATGGAAAATCTCAACAGCAGCCATTAGCCAAATTCCAACATGGATAAAGCCTCCCTCAATTCCCTCAACAAATTTAAATAATGTAGTAAGTATCAATTCCTCAGTACTTCTCATATTAGTGGTGATGGAAATAATGCTTTCTTGCAAGTTGCAAGGGTTTAAAATAATTCTAAAAGTTATTAGAGAAATGCTCTGATTATGAAATGAAAAGAAATACCTTTCTGAGGCAGTGCCATCATTTTCAATAAAGTGAACTGATTTACCCTTCTTGAGTTTCTCTTTGGTTTCTGATGCAGGCATAGGACTGTAAAAAAGAGTAGTCATTAAGCAACAATATTTTTTTCCTCTGTAGGGGGAAAAACGCCTATAAAGTTTGTCAAGCATAACATTGGCCTAACATTTCGCGTTATCACAAATTTATATTAACCTCATTTGGGGGGACTAGAGGAAAAGGTTGTTTTGGGGGTTTTTTTGAACAGGGCTGGAAATCCTCTTTTTCTCTTCTCCACTCCTCCTCTTCTCACCCTCTCGTTTGCTTCCCCCTGATACTATTTGTGTGGAATTCATTGTCCCCAGTAAGGTTTCCTAGTAGTCAATGTGGTTTCTTTAGGACTCATTGAACTCTATTTGGTGGGATATGTCTGTACTGCCAAGATTACAGCTCAGCTAATCACACTAACAGCATAGCTCACACCCATTCACTTAGGGCCTTAATAGACCATGAGGTACCACCACTCACTGAGAATTTTGTAGAACAGCTACTTTAAGAAAGAGTAACAACTGAAAAGTGACATCCAATTTTCAAGCATGAGCCTCTGGAACACTGGGAGACACATAAGGGAAAAGACAAAACAACAGGGAACTTCAGAACACCAGGCCTTGCCATCTGTTTAAATAAATTATTTGTCACTCATTACATAAGGGTCAAAGATTGCTGACTTAGGAGTGGAATTCTAGGTCCCACACACATTATTTCAACCTCAGTCACCAGCCTTTCCAATCTCTATTGCTAATTCACAATCAATCAGTCAACAAAGTCCAGGGTAGACAATGAAATGGTTTCTCTACCAAGACTCACAACAGCCCTCTGGGGAGGAAGGATTAATTCCTTCAGTAAGTAACAGGTACCAGGACTTGGGAGAAGGGCATTCCAGAACCCAGCCCCAAATGACAAAGAGAACTCTAGGGTCTCCTTACTAAATGATGTGCTTTCTGTGTCTACCTGATAGAGTTGTTTTGTGTCCTGTGGGGGCTTAAGATCTGTTATGGCTTTGGCTTTCCTGAGCTTAGTTGAATGCCATGTTGAGTTACAAGGTAGCCCACAAGCTCCAATCTTGCTCCAAATTTATACCTCTCTCTGTGAAGCCTAAGTCCAGATGTAGGAACAGAAGATAGAATTAAGTGCATTTTTCAGGTTGAGTTGTTTCATATACACGGATATCATTTATGTACAGCTTCATACCCTCTGTGTTCAGACAAGAGCTCTTGTTTGCTTCATCTTCTGGGGCACATGTTATCTCAAAAACAAACTGTCTTAAAACAATACTTCCTCCCAACTAAAAGAATTGGTCAGATCAGAAATTTCTTCTATCAGCACATGGTATGACTGGGCAATTTGGACAAAATGTCATCTAGAAAAGGGTCTTTCTGCATTTTTTCATTTCACCTGGGCCACTATTATATTGAGTGCCAGCCTGGAGTCAGGAAGACTCATCTTCCTGAGTTCAAATCTGTCCGAAAACACTTCCTAGTTGTGTGACCCTGGTCAAGTTACTTAACCCTGTTTGCCTCAGCTTCCTCATCTGTAAAATGGGGTGAAGGAAATAAGAAATCACTTTAGTATCTTTGCCAAGAATACCCCAAACAGAGTCGAGCAGAATTGGACATGACTGAACAACAACAAAAGACATTTTCTGCTCAATTTTACTAGAGGTGTGCTGGAGTCAGCTGGACACCCGAGAGCTGAATGTTAAATTTTCATTGTGAGCATTTATACCTCAGAAATATGCAATCGCTACCAATCAGGGCTTGATTTATTGTTCATTGATTGTCTAGACCAGGGGTGGGGAACGTGTGGCCTAGAGGCCTCTTGTGGTCCTTGAGGTCCTCAAGTGCTGCCCTTTGATTCAATCCAAATTTCACAGAACAAATCCTCTTAATAAGGGGACTTGGTCAAAAGGCTGCACCTAGAAGGCCACATGTTAAGATAGGAATGGAGAAAAAGTCTGTAATGCAGATTAAACTTAAAAATGTGTTGTGCCTACATTTTTATTTAACAAATGTTTAATAAAGCAACACACCTCTGCTTCAAGCCCTCATTCACAGCCCTGGAAATCAGCTTTTCTTGGGTCATTTGCCAACTTTATCTTAGTGACTTGTCACTTTAAAAGAACAAATTCATCCGATTTCTCAGCCTAGCCACAGGAAGTCTATTTTATATGAATGCTTGGCCTCAGGTTTCAAGGTCACTGGCCCTTTAAAAACATAATGGAGCACACCCCGCAGGCCATTCTGTCTCTGCTGAATGCCAGATCTTTTGTCCAACCGGCAGTTTCTGGCTCTTAACAGGGCCCTAAGATCCTGGTTTCTCTCCCAGGGCTTTGTTAACTCTAAATCAATCTCTCCAGATTAAATTCTGCTTTTCCACTACAAACCAGTCTCTTCTTTCCCTTGGTTTCCCATTTCAGCCGGACACCCCTCTTAAATGGCTTGTTTCTGAATATTATGGATTCTCTGCCCTCAGTGGACGTTTCTCTTGTCACAATTGTCAAAATTGAGCTGGAATGTTCTAGAACCCTGCCTCAGTGACGATACTAAGCATTACCTAGAGCAGCGTGCCTAAACTTACACCTTTTTGGACTCTTTGAGGAACACTGGTGAGTTAAGTAGGTGGTGCAGTCAATAACGCCCATTTTACAATGGAGAAAAGGAGAAAAGGAGAAAAGTTAAAGGATTTGCTGGTGGGTCATAAGGCTAGTAAGTAATTCAATTCAACAAACATTTACCAAGTGCCTCTACGTTGTGCCCATCATTATACTTGGTACTGGAAATACAAAGGCAAAACCAACTCATAAATGTATGAATGTGTGTGTATATTTATACAGATCATATATGTGTTATGTGCATATGTATATATACAGTGTGTATATATTTGTGTATGTGTCTACACAATGATAGGATCATCTAGAGAGCTAGAAGATCATCTAGTCCAGCTCCATTTTACAGATGAAGAAACTGAGGCCCAGATAGGTTAAGTGACTTGCCCGAACTCACACAGGTAGTAAAATGGAACTCAGATTCTGTGACTCCAGGTTCAGCACTCTTTCCACTGCTCCTACTCCCAAGGAGCTTACATCCTATTTTCCAGATCTTGCACCCAGGTCTTTTGACTCTAAAAGTCCAGGAGTCCTTCCATTATGTCATGTTGCTGGTTTTCAAAGACGTGCGAAAAAATGCCATCATCTTCTATTTGATCTGGTGGTACTCATGGAATCTAGTCTTTCCCATAGCTAGCACTGTGTTAGGACACAGCAGTCTTCCTATTTTCCCAATACTGCATCATAATCATTACGTTCCCCCTCAGTCCTAACTAAAGGTAAGACGTCATATTTCAGGATCTATAGCTACAATTAAGACCTTGATTTGCGTCCTCTCAGGTTCTTCACAGTTTTGGTCATTTTATGCTTGTTGTCTCCTTTGTTTTGGCCTGGATAAAAAAACTGGTAACTTATGGGGCTTCTGCAGATTTAAAGTGGGGCACTGGATTAACCTGTCCATAAGCAAATTTCCTAGTCTCACCACAGATTTCTAGCTAACACCCTGAAACCCTTCTATTCCTTTTCTTTCTTTGCTTATGATAGCTCTTCTAGCGACAATGTTGAATTGGTGGAAGGGTTCATTAAAGCAATAACAGACAAAATTGCTGACGCTGTTAAGACAATGCATACTAACTTCAGGCTAGCCCAAGAACTTGGACACACAGCTTGATAGTAAAGTTATCAGTTGTTTAATGCAGTCTGCATGGTTCAGTGGAAAATGTTGGAAAACCTGGGTTCAAATGCTCTATCACCTCCTCGCTTATATGGCCTTAGTCAAATCACTTCTTTGGGATTCCTTTTCCTTATCCCTAAAACATGAAGGTTGAACTAAATGACCTTCAAAAGTCTCTTTCAAAAGTCTAAATCTGTGGCCATATGTATAAGACTTTAGGTTAAAGATAATCAGGAGGCCTCTGACAGCAACTTTATTGGCCAAATGTACACTGCAAGAGGGACTGAGAAGTTTTATACCGAAAAAAACTAAAGTGAATCTTGGGAATTTTCAAGTGGGAAATCTTCCAAGCCTTAATTAGGATTTGTACTTTAGACCAAATTTTGGTCCTATATTCCTTGTGTGTCTAAGCCAGCTCATCTATTTTTGATAAAAATGTTACCCCAAATTATAAAAATTAAGACAGTTACTTATGGATACTTCTGTAGGTAACTTGTAAAACACTTAGCCATTCAAAGTTGCCTTACTAATCTCTAATTTACTAACAAAGCCTTACTAATCTCTCCAAACCTGCCTTTCTAGTTTTCTAGTCTATCTCCCACTTCACATTGAGCCACTTTTCTATCCAGACTAGTCTATATTGACTGGCAACTAGGTGGCAAAGTAGAAAAGAGTGCTGGGCCTGGAGCCAGAAGACTTTCCTTCCGGAGTTCAAATCCAGCCTCAGAAAGCCCTGTGTCTTCACACCATACTCTCAATTTAAAATGCTTATCTGTCCATCTGAATCCAAACCATCTTTGAAGATGTCAAAATATTTTGGAGATACCCTGTTTCCCAGAGCTAAGGCCCAGCAAACAGGCTGTGTCCTGAGCTTGGTATAACAATAATCCTTTGCGTTCAAGATATCACCCTCTAGCAAAGCATATTGCTTGGACCAGCACCAGGTGTTTACTGAGGGATTTCACTCCCCCTATCTCCCAGGGACATCCATCACATATTCACAATCCCTGCTCCTTATCACTGACAGGTATTGCACTGCTGTTCCCATCACAGAACTCTGGTTCTGTCCCCTGAAGGGTGGGCCCAACGCCCAAGACCAGACAATACTGGTCCCCCAGGGCTGGTGGGAACAGTAGCTCACAATCTAAAAATGATTATTTCATGGTCCAGCCCAGGATGTATATAAGACCTGCCTTTAGTCCAGCATATTAAGCCCTCCTTTCTAGGAGGGGGGTGGGGCTTCTGTATGCATATGTCATTTTCCTCACTCTGAAATTAAACTTCTGTTTTGTGTCCTGACTCTCCTGTCTCTAG